GGGGAGCCAGCTGTGGGGTGTACAAAGTTGCTTTTGTCATCCAGTGCCTCACAATGGTCTTCTCTCCCCCCCCCAAAAAAAAACATCTTCTGCCTCAGGCAGTCACCTCATTTTCCCTGACCAGTAGGCAACAGGTTAAAGAATGAAAAGGACAGGCAGATTCCTGAGGTATTTAGAAGTAGCTGAATGGTTTCGGAGTCGGAAAAAACCCCACACAAATTGGTTAGAATGTGATCGCGCTCGGGAGGGGCGCGTTTTCGCGCCCTCGAACCGAGCAGCGCGATTTGCTCACCTGGCCCCGGAAGAGGCAAAAGACAGGGTCACGTGACAGGGGACTGGCTGGAGGCAATATAGGCAGGCGACGGCTCCGATGGATTGCTCTTTCGCTTTTGGCTGAGCTCGGAGCAGGACGTCGCTAACACTTTGGAGTCTGGTTTGCGAGGGGCGGCTTTGCGCTCCCCCTCCCCCTTTGCATCTTTTCTTATAGGGTTGCTGGGCTGGGTTATTGTCAGGAGGGTTGTTTTATTTACAGTGTGAGCGTCGGAGGTAATCAGCTGGGAGGCGGGGAGAGAGTTCGGGGCAGCGCGCGGCGGGCGCTTTACCCGCCGCGCGTCGGGTGTTAGCTACAGAGCCTCCACTCTTCCCCGCGTTGCCGGTAGTGTGCCCAGGAGCAGGGGGGATTTCATAGGATAAGGCGGGGAGGCGCTTCTGTGGGGTTTGGAAAGTAGAAGGGAAGCTAACGGAGGTGGTGTGATCGGGGGACGTGAGAGTAGGGACGAGCGGCTGCATCTGTTCCCCCTCTATTCGGACAGGGTATTTGGTTTATGGTGTATGACCTGGGTTGGTGGAGGGGGTGAAGTGGCGTAGCAAGGGCAGCCTGGTGTAGCGGGCGCCATTTTGTGTGTACTCGTAGGGCAGCCGCGTGGTTTGCCTCTCGGCCGCCATCTTGTGGTGTTAGTTTCACTTTCATTAAACGGCATACTCTGACATAAATAAGGAGGGAGGACAAAGGAGGTAAGGGAAGGTAGAGAGATAGATAGGAAAGTAGGCACAGGGGGTATTGGGGGGTAATTGGGGCGATAAGTGGAATCTGGTCTAATTGGAGGGTGTAATAAATTATATAGAATTATATATTAAAATAAACACAAAATTATAGGGATAGTTCTTCTGCCTTCTATTTGGAATTTTGGTAAGCAAATTAAGGAGTGTAGAGGTTTGGGGACTGAATTTGGTATATTAGTAATAATACAAATAACAATTAAAAATTGTTGGAACTCAGAATAATAAATAAATAATATACATAGATAATCGATAACACTAATAATAATATTGTTATCGTTAATGATAATAATAATAACAACAATAATAATAACACAAAAATAAAAAATAAAAAATAAATAAATAAAAATAAAAAATACAAAGACTTTATGGTGGTTGGCACTGAAGCACAGTAGGTGACAGGGCCCATTCCAGGCAGGTGGAGGATTGGTTACGGGGTGGGCGTTGCCTGTGGAGCCATAATTTGATTTATATTGTATTGGGCTCCCCTGGGTTGGGGAAGGAGTGTTTGGTGTAAGTTAGCACAATAGATCTTGGGTATTGCAGGGTAATATTGGACTAAGTTAATAATAATAATAATAATAATATTGTTGTTGTTGTTGTTGTTGTTGTTAATTAATTGATAATAATAATAATATTAATAACAAAAAGTGGAGATGCCTCCGAAAAAGGGAGGAGGAAAAAAGAAAGGAAAGGCCCCTGCAAAGAAGCCGGTAGTTCCCCAGGTGTCCCCTCCTCATTCATCATCGGATGAGGAATCTTGGGCCATGTTGAAAGATCTACAAGCCAAAGTGGCGAGCATGGAGGCCAAAAAGTTAGAAAGGCAGGCCCCTAAGGGTGATGAGATCACACCACGCCGCTCCAATAGGGATACAAAAGGGCGACGTAGGGCGGAAATGAGAGCTATGACACGTGATTTAATGAAGCGTTTTGATGCCCTTGAAGCCGAGCAGGGTCAAGATGATGATGGACGGAAGTCGGATGATGGTTCTCCGGCAGCACACTTAGCGACTCGAGGGCGGAAACGCGCAAGGACGGAGGCAACTGATGACCAGGATGCCACAGAGGGTGTGTCCTGCGGGCTTGACCCGTATGGCGAACCCTCTACGAGTGCTCGTGGGATGGTGGAGGCTGCAGGAACGGCACGGGCAGTTTCTGGTGAGTATGGGGGTACACACAGTGCAGGTAGTCAATTGGCAGCTTGGCCATGGCTGGGAGGCTTGCAGCAGCCGAGTGCCTCGCCAAATTTTTACACAACACCTAATATGGCATGGCCGGGTGGCTTTTGGCCTTCTATGGGCCCGCAATGGTGTGGATGGGGCATGCCAGGCGCCAGTCCATTAAACTCAGGGACGGCCAGTGAAGGTAAGTATTTAGCGTCACAGCTGCACCCATCGGTGCCCAATACAGGTTACAATACTGTTCCCATAGCAGTGATTCCTTATACAGATTACAGTACGCCTCTGGGAGACCATCTGACCCCGGCTGTTAAGGAAAAGATTTGGCGAGGCGATTATATTGACTTTTATGAATTATTGAACCGGGAATTTGAAGTTAAGGAGATTGATAAGGATGATGAAAAGCTGAAGGAAAAACACAGACGTAAACGGCCCGATAGAAATTGGAATAATTGGGTCACGGGCTTCACCATATATTCTGGTGTGTTGGTAAAAATGCAGCCTTGGAAGGCATCGGCTTTATTTCAATACTTCGACATTATGCGAAGAGCGAAAGCGGAATTCGAGGGTCAGGCATGGCTAAGGTACGATGAGGCTTTCAGGATGAGGAGTGCAATTAGGCCAGAATTGCGCTGGGATGAAACACACCTGGGACTATGGCTACAGCATATGTCACCCGCAAAAACGAGCTTAGGCGATAGGTTTGATTGTGGTCTCCTGAATATAAAGTACTCAGGTGGCCCAGGTGCCCGCCAGGGGGCGGGGCAGCAGGTTCAACCCCGGCTGGCTTGCTACGAGTTTAACAATAGAGGGTCGTGTGCCAAGGTTCCATGCAGATTTCGGCATGAATGCATCACCTGCGGAGGAAAGCACGCTAAGATCAACTGCTTCAGAACAGGGGGGCAGAGACAGAATAAGACAGGAGGGGCAAATAAGAAACCGGATGGCGGGGGTGGGGCTCCTGGAAAGGGGACCCACACCAATTAAGATTAAGGTACTGGTCAAGGGGTTGGAGCATTACCCAAATAGGGAAGATGCGGAATATTTATCTCTAGGTTTTAAGTTTGGGTTTAGGATTCCGGTGCTGGGTGTTAGACGGGCATTTGTGGCTAAGAATCTCAAATCAATTAAAGGCATGGAGGGGATAGTTTTGGAAAAGATAAACAAGGAGGTGAAGGAAGGTAGGGTCTTGGGACCTTTTGATGAGCCACCGGGAAATGTCAAAGGGTCTTAGACACATTTAGAGAACTTGCGGCAGAAATGGGACTGCCATTAGCGGAAGAAAAGACAGAGGGACCGGCAACAACCCTTACTTTCCTGGGAATCGAATTGGACACAATGCACCAGACTTCCCGGTTGCCTCAAGAGAAATTAGAGAACATTAGGAACATTATACGTAGTTTGAGGGGTAGAAAGAAGGTTACGCTAAAGGAGTTACAAGAAGTGGTGGGACATTTGAATTTTGCTTGTAAAGTAGTAGCCCCTGGACGAGCCTTTGTGAGGCGACTTTGCAGTGCCATGTCAGGGCTACGGAAACCATTTCATAAGACTAGGGTGACAAGAGGTATGCGGGAAGACTTAGGGGTTTGGGAGCTGTTTTTAGAGCAATTTAATGGGGTATCATTTTGGAGATCTGAAATTAGTTTAAAGACAGAGGTTCAAGTAAACTCAGATGCAGCAGGTGCACAAGGGTTTGGAATTTACTTCCGGGGTAGGTGGTGTGCAGGGACTTGGCCCGAGGATTGGCATCGACAGGGTATAACGAGGGACTTGACATTCCTGGAATTTTTTCCAATTGTAGGAGCTCTGTGGCTTTGGGCATCTGAATGGGCTAATACAGTGGTCCGATTTTGGTGTGACAATCAGGCGGTGGTGTTTATTATCAATAACCTGACGTCACGCTCAGATCGGGTTATGGAGTTAGTTAGGGCATTTACGTTAAAGGCCCTGCAATTTAACGTTGTGGTGCAGGCCCGACATGTTCCGGGCATCGATAACAGGATAGCTGACGCGCTTTCACGTCAACAGATCCAGCGTTTCAGGGAATTGGCACCGGACGCCAGGGATCTGCCAGAAGTCCTTCCGGCGGAGGTCTGGCAGATTGGCGTGAAGAAGCGTCGAGAGCGATAGGTTTGGCGCTGGCCCCGAAAACACGCAAGAAATATATAGCTGCAGGTACCGAATTTTCGGATTTTAGGAAGGCAATGCATTTGGAGCATACGTGGCCTGCATCGGTAGAACATCTACAGCAATTTAGTGTTGCCTTACATAGAAAAGGTTTGGCATCAGGTACTATACAGGGGAAATTGGCTGCGGTGGGTTTTTATGCGAAGGCAAATGGGTTTAGGGATTTTTCAGGTGATTTTAGGATAAGGAAGATGCTGGAAGGATGGTCAAGGGAAAAGGGAAGGATTAAGGACGATAGGACGCCCATATCCCCGGCGATCCTCGAGCGTCTAGGTGAACTATGGGGATTGGTGTGTAGGGACGATTACGAGAAGGCACTTTTGCAGGCCGCAGCCCTAATAGCCTTTTTTGGGGCCATGCGAATTAGTGAGCTGGTGGCATTGGGAAAAGGGGATGTATCACGGAAAGCCCTACAGTTTGAGGACGTGATAGTACAGGAGGACCAGGTGATTATTAGGATTAGGAGATCTAAAGCTGATCAGTTGGGCAGAGGTAGCCAATTAATGATGGGACGGTGTAGCAGGGAAAGTATCTGCCCAGTGAAGGCGGTAAAGGAATTTGTGGGATTTCGGGGAGCAGAGAAGGGTTATTTCTTTCAACATGCGGACGCATCACCACTTACGAAGTATCAATTCTGGAAGCTGACTGGCATGGCGCTGGAAAGAATAGGGGTTAAGAATATGAAATTTGGAACGTATTCGTTCCGGATAGGGGCTGCCTCAACGGCAGCTGCATTGGGTTATAGTGTAGAACAAATTAAGCACATTGGTCGTTGGTCATCCAATTGCTATCATAAATATGTTAGACAAATACCTAACGTATAGGTAGGGGTTGTTTTGTCTTACAGGTCAGGAGTTGAAGGACGTCCGGAGGAACATCATGATTGTCGGCCATAGCTACGTTTTTTGGGCGGCACGCTATGCGGCAACTTCCGCGTGGGGAAGTGACTTGGGGCTAGGTGCCCAGGCATCGATTGAGTGGAAGGGCGTGCGTGGCCTGCAATGGGTGCAATTTGGAAGATTGACATCTTTTGGTAGCACACCTCCGGACATATTGGTTGTCCATTTAGGGGGCAATGATTTGCCTAGATTGCCCGGGAAGGCATTGATTCTGGATGTAATGAGAGATTTGAACGGGCTACATATAACATATCCAGACATGCGAATCATATGGTCCACAATTATACCACGACTAAATTGGCGGGGAGCTAGGGATTGGGACAAAGTAAACAAGGCCCGTCGAATTAATGATGGGACGGTGTAGCAGGGAAAGTATCTGCCCAGTGAAGGCGGTAAAGGAATTTGTGGGATTTCGGGGAGCAGAGAAGGGTTATTTCTTTCAACATGCGGACGCATCACCACTTACGAAGTATCAATTCTGGAAGCTGACTGGCATGGCGCTGGAAAGAATAGGGGTTAAGGATATGAGATTTGGAACGCATTCGTTCCGGATAGGGGCTGCCTCAACGGCAGCTGCATTGGGTTATAGTGTAGAACAAATTAAGCACATTGGTCGTTGGTCATCCAATTGCTATCATAAATATGTTAGACAAATACCTAACGTATAGGTAGGGGTTGTTTTGTCTTACAGGTCAGGAGTTGAAGGACGTCCGGAGAAACATCATGATTGTCGGCCATAGCTACGTTTTTTGGGCGGCACGCTATGCGGCAACTTCCGCGTGGGGAAGTGACTTGGGGCTAGGTGCCCAGGCATCGATTGAGTGGAAGGGCGTGCGTGGCCTGCAATGGGTGCAATTTGGAAGATTGACATCTTTTGGTAGCACACCTCCGGACATATTGGTTGTCCATTTAGGGGGCAATGATTTGCCTAGATTGCCCGGGAAGGCATTGATTTTGGATGTAATGAGAGATTTGAACGGGCTACATATAACATATCCAGACATGCGAATCATATGGTCCACAATTATACCACGACTAAATTGGCGGGGAGCTAGGGATTGGGACAAAGTAAACAAGGCCCGTCGCCAAGTTAATAGAGAGGTTTGCAGATGTGTCCGAATAGGTGGTTTCGGAGCCGTAATAGACCATCACAGGATACAAGCGTCTAACCCGGAGTATTTTCGGGAAGATGGAGTTCACCTGTCGGATATTGGTTTGGATAAGTTCTTGGAGGATATAAAGGGGAGCCTGCTAGTGCAAATTGGCCTGCTTGGTGGGTACATGGGACATAGCTTATGCTAGTCCTCATGTTTTGGCGGGTAGTGCGGGGATAACTGGTTGTCTCGGTGTGTCCCCTTTTATAACTATGATAAAACCAACAGCCAGTGGCTCCTCTCGGCTCTGCTGATCGTGCGATCACAGGGCTGAAAGCAGCTTATGGGCTGGGACACTTACGGACCGGGGGTCATCAATAGATGGCTCGGGGTCCGGGGTGTTTAATTGAGGCCTTACAGGTTCCTACGGTCATTAGACAGTGGGAACCTGGGGGGCTTGGGACTCGCCCATGGACTGATAAGGAAGTATTGGATGCCATGGAGTTATTTCCCCGCACTACCGCAGGCCCCCTTCAGTTTTGGATTTGGTTTACTGATTAATTCTAATTGGTTTCAATAAAGTGTGGCCCATTTAAATCCAAAGAATGGTTGTCTTGCGTCTTTATTCTGGGGCTTGGGGGAGCAAGTCCTCCTTTCCCCTTTCTTCTTTCCCCCTTCCTTCATTCTCTTCTTCCTTCCCTTCTTCCTTCCTTATTTCCTCCCCTCTCCCTTCCCTCCTTCCTTCCTCCCTTCCTTCCTGGCAGGGAGCAAAATGTGACTATCAGTTGCAGTGCTTGCATTATCTTGTATTGAAGCTATGTAAGCACAGCATAAAAGAATCACACTGAGCAAATCAGCATTGATACCAGCTGGGAAAGGGTGGAGGTGGGTGGCAAGACTTTAAAGCAATCTTGCAGACAAAAATCATTTTTCTCTCTCCTCCAAACCTGCTTGTTGTTGAAATGGATCTCTTTGCTTGAAGACCAGAGAGAAGCGTAACAGTTCCCTGAGACTTCAGCTGACAGCATGAGATTTAGCAACCCTAGTTGGATTGCTCTCGTTTGTGCAACTATTAGTTAACAAAACATCTGTAATCATGCTGCTTTGGAAGTGCAATCTGACATGCATCTATATTGCTAGAGGCTGGGTTTCATGTACATATTTGTTCTTTGATATTGGTTTTACCAGAAAAGATTACTTGTTTTTATGAATGAGCTTCCAAGAATCATATGTACACCAGTCTTTTATATCACTTCATAGACATATGGTTTTCAATAAGATAGGATAACACATTTAGTGGTAAGTCTTAAGAAATCAGCTGGTGATAAAATTAAATCATGCACATACCATTGGATCAGTTGCAGTGACACTGCAGCTATGAAGGAAAATAATCATGGTCCCTCTGTCTTTCTCTCTAGATCAGTGTTCCACAACATAGGAGTCAAAAAATGTTTTCCAGGGAGTTGTGGGTCGCCTTATATGAGATGTAGCCCTTGATAAATAATTTCTTCCTTGACCTTTCTGAATGGGATATTAAAGTTAGTGTTTATGTGTATGTATGAGAAGCAGGCCCTTTGCAGGAGAAAGAAGCCTCTATTTTCTGAGAAGTAATGATTTAACTCCATAAAAATTCCTTTTGATGCAAAATGGTGGTGGTGGACTATAGGTTACTTGGTTATTATAAAAGGAAGTCATGATTCCAAAAAGGTTGGGAACCACTGATCTAGATCATGCTCTACGTTCAATAACAGTTATTTCATTTAATAACAGCAATTGCATTTTTTTTACAACAGAAAATAGCAAGGTAAAATTTATCTTTGTAAATTATCTTTGTAATTCATCTTTCCATGTAACATCTAATTTTTTTTAGTTTTATTTATATGCCGCATTTCTCCCAACATGGGACTCAAAGCAGCTCACAACATTAAAATTCACACAATTTAAAAACACAGTAAGTCAAGTCAAATATTAATAGATAAATTAAACAAAATACAATGTAAAATGCAATTAAAAGATTAAAACATGAAAGCATAAAAAAGATCAAAATTTCTACTTAAATTCTTCAAGTTAGTTAGAGAGAGAGAGAGAAGAAAGAGATTGTGCACAATGATTCTCCTGCATTGTGTAGTTTCCCTGAATTGTAACCATAGCCCTCTCATTGTGCAATAAGGCACTGGTTCTTAACCTTTGTTACTCAGATGTTTTTGGACTGCAACTCCCAGAAGCCTTCACCATCTGCTGGCTGGGGTTTCTGGGAGTTGCAGTTCAAAAACACCTGAGTAACAAAGGTTAAGAACCACTGCAATAAGGTACTTGTCTTTATTTTGATTTTGTTTGATTCATTGCCTTGGGACTTTAATTACTTCTGTTCAGGCCTGCTCTCTCAAACATCAATACTATTTTAGTTTCAGGTTATACCAATTGAACGCCTGTTCTCTGTCTACTTGAAAATTTCTGTGCTGCATATCAACCACCAAATGATGACAAAACTCAAATACTCTCTCAACAAACTGAATACCTGTATTTGTTGAGTATATGTTGTGGTATCTGTGAGTTTAAAATAGTATTTCACTGCACATTTCTAGACAAGAAGATTAAATATGAAATTCTGGACAAAGGGGTACAGTTTCTGAGAGCAACAAAATGAATATCAATGCTAATTTGTATACATAAAGGAAAAATAACCTGACTGTCAGGTTATTGTTTGAAGCAAAGCAGGTCTAATATTGGTTTGTGTTTGGGTGGGAGGCTGTTTTGGAAACTGCTTGGGAATTCTGAGCATTAAATGTAGAACATATATGGATGGTTGTACTAGTTTCAGAAAAGATCTGCTATAGTTTCTATTTTTCATATGGCAAAATGATGCCAAAACCATGGAAAATCGGAACCCACAATTATATTTGAAACCATGGAATGAGAGTCGGAATCATGGGAAAGTCCATAACAGAAGAGCTCTCCTTGCTTACTGCCGTGCAGAAGGTATATACTGTAAAATATCTAGGATGGCTCTCTAAAGTAAGCTGATGGTGATCATATTATGCACAATACACCCTGAGAATACTCAGGAGAAGTCCTTCAGGCGTAGATGTTCAGAGCATACATTAAACTAAATTAAATGGATTATGTTTCTGCATGTCTGGGAATGTTTGTTGGTCACTGGGGTTCTGTGAGAACAGAGGAGATTCTTGAGAAGGCTTTGCAGATTGCATTGTAGCTTCATTTAATTCTACCGACCAAGATGGCTTGGGGCTTAGATATCAAACAGTGGAGAAACAAACAGGTAAGGAAACAAGCCCAGTGTTCAGAAATGTATTTCTCTTTCCAGAACTGCTGTATGACCACAGCATGAACCTCAGAGAAACACAACTGTTTTGGACTAGCTCTGAAATACATAGTGAGGAAGAATGTCCTTTTGCCCAGGATTACTGACTACAAAGGTCATATATGAAGTCATTTCTCAGAAATATAACTGTGGTAAAGTGATTTTCTTAAAATCAGAGGTACATTAGCCAAATTATAGGTAAAGGTAATAGTTTGATCCTGGTGGTATCTTCATTTTTCTTTGTAGTGTTAAATAATTCTTATTGAAAATAAAGCTTAATATATCAGAGAAATGTTGACTAGTTAAACGTCAACCTTCTGGGCCATCTGCATGGCCTTCAACCTGATTTCCTCAGTAATTGCCTGCCATTCGGCATTCAGATTGAACGACAGAGGCAATAAAGAGAAGAGATGTTAGATGACAGACAGGTTAGAGCCAGTAAGCTGGCAGCCTAGAACGTGGTTACCTCCATCAGCAACCACATGCTTAGACTGAATATATGAAGCATA